CTAATATCCTCTGGAAATTTTACCCATCCTTATGCTGCTCTGAAGCAGCCTCCACCCCCTGTCCTTTTTCAAGCCCTTGAATTTACAGTTATTTCTAACAAGACCTCTTGGGTTAACCTGGAAAATTTTGTCTGAAGGAAGAAAACACTCATGTTATCCCCTCACCACAGACTGAGGGTGAACTCCCATGCAAAGTTAACCTCCAGGTAGGTATGGTGACGTTTGCCAAGTGGCAGAGCTGGCTACCGAGGATGCCACCACTTGCACACTGAGCTGCAGATGGGTAGGATGCAATCATATCCCCCACCTCTATAAAATACTGTCATTTTTGTGACTAATGTCTGGCTTTTGTCTCTAAATTTGCAAAACTGCTTTGCCTCACCTGCACTGCTCCTTGCAGCATTTGTAGCACCACAAACAGGATGGCAGCTACAGATCTGCTGCTAAAACTGTTACTGCCCCGTTCTACGGCCTAGAAAATAACACCCAGCAGCAGGATTTTGTGTCCTTGCATGTCATGCAGAAAATACATAGTTTTCTTCCATTCCCCACCTCCACAGAAAAAAAAATGTTACTTGTCTTTAAATTGTTCTCTTCCCAGGCTAGCCTATCTTTAACCCATGCACTGTCTGTGCAATACAGAGTTCCTTTCATGCAGGGAGGGATGTGTTCCTGCCAGGTCCCAGTGTTCTAGGGAATTTGCCAGATCCCTCAATAATCTGATCCTCTGCCTTTTGGCTCCAATGTTCTGAGTTGGCTCTTTTGGTCTGAGTTCTCCCAAAATAGGATCTCCATTGCCTCCTGTATCATGCTTTCCCTACTGCCTGGTAACCGTGTGTAAGTTCCACCCCCTTTAGCATTTCCTTCCCCAGCAAAGCGGCCTGAGGAAACAGCAGGGGCAGTCAGTCCCTCCATCCTCCAGACAACACGGGCATATGCAAGAATGAAGGATTTCTATCTGCAGCATCATATTTAAGTTTTCTTTTTAGTGCTTAGAGCGCAGCGGTAAATGCACTGGTTTTGATTCCCACAGTACAAAATACCCTTCATAGGTCTGTAGGAAGCTAATAGAAGTGCCAGGAACAAGGAGACAGAAAGCCATGGCCCAAACAGGGACCGGGAGAGGATCAGGTACAGCTGAGCTGCACTGTACCAAGTCACCAGTTCCTGCTAGGCACACATTCCCCTAGCCGGGTTATCAAGGGTACCTACCAGGCTGTGTGGTATGTCCCCTGCCCTTCACAGCTGCTGTTTGGATGAGAATTAGAATTTAGGACAATTAATCATTATGGACAATGCTAAGTAAAAAGTCCATGCCAGCAAGACTGCAATAATGCCAGCCTGAGAGAAAAGGGATGTGTCACCCTGTTTAGCTGTTACACCATGACACAGACACAGCGGCTGGAGGATATTGCTGCTCCAGACAGCTATCAGCCATCTGACTGACTTCCCTGGCAAGCTCTTGGCCCCTCTTCTAACGAAAATGAACAGATTTTGCAGAGAAGGAATGTAATTTTTAGAGTCCTGAGTTAATCAAATGCGTTAAAAACACAGTGCCTGAGATACAATGGATCAACTTTGTCCTGGGTGTCACCCATTCACTCCAACAAGCTTACACCAGAGATGAATTTGCCCTGGTGCCTTTGTCAATAAAATTCTAGATTAAAAGAGAGCCTATATAGAGCTGGTCCCAGAGGTAATTGCTGGTTAATCAGCCAATTAACTGAGCCAACGAGTAGGAAAAGGGGAGGGGGAGTAAGGGGGAAAACAAATCAGTCAAGGTATGGTAGAACATAATTCTTTAGGGGTTAATGTTAGAAACCTTTTCAAAGGGATTACAGCCTACCTTGACTCATTCCCCCTTCTTCCCTCCTTTTCCTCTTCTTCCCAATTTGTAATTGTTGGTTCCCCTAATTGGCTGATTAACTACTTATTACAGGCAGACCTGGAGGTATGCGGGATCCCCTTAGCCACGGAACTTGATTTCATCTAGCAGAGCAAGGCTGAATGCAGCAGAGCATCTGTATGGGCCATTTCTCTCCTAACCAGGCTGATGGCTTAGAGTCAAGTAGCATTTCATTTGAGAAGATTCTTCTTTAAACTAGCTTCTATTTTATTTTTTTAATACTACAAAGAAATGGAAGGATTTTATTTTAATAGTTTGTTATGCAAGCAGAATGATTTTTAGCTGAATTTAATGGAGTTTGTACACCTCAAACTAACTTCTTTACTATTCACTGATACATTATCAGCACTATCAGGATATTTCAATGAATGAGCTGTTACAGCTGCTTGGTGTTATGATAATAAATAATGACAATAGAATTAACCTCTATTTTCCTTTGATATTGTTACCAGGCTCCTTTCTGCCAGTAGCAGTCCTGGGAGATGAGTCTTAATGGTGAAAAGGGCAAGCTGAGAAAGTTACCCTAATTACCTCTCCTTAGAGTTTTGTAGGGGAAAAGAGCAGAGCTCACCCTTCCAGTTGTTGGCTTCACCTAAGATTTATAGTAGGTCAAAAGGGACGTACTAGTCTGTTCTGCTACATCCTGAAATGACACAACAAAGGAGGAATCCAAAGTTGCTTTCTGAAGCTTCAAAGAAGAGTTTTGCTGCTTGTTCAACATAAAGCAAATCTCAAAACACCTCATTAATGTACCTTTTCCAACATCACGTAGTAAGAGATGGAGCTGCTACCCCTGAAACAATGACATCGTAGCTTAACAGGACACTAAGTTTGACCTCTCTGAAACAATAATTATCAGTGTACATGGCTGTGGACATATATAGGTTATTTTCTAAAGCTGGTGGATTGTTTTGGTCACTCACCCTCCTGTGTAGATGGTAAATAACACTCTTTTTCTCTTCTCATTGCTTGAGCAGCAGGACCCTGTGCAAAGCAGCAACTTTACTGAGTGTAACTATCCAGGGAGGCAGGCACAGAATAGGGATCTCCTAATGTAGTTTCTATTACATAAACCTCTTCTTCTAATTCCACTTCTCTCCTTCTGCTTCAGAAGAGAGTTTGGGATTTTAGTTCTGTCTAATGTTTGTCACAATTTATTCCTCCTATTCCTCTTTTTCCCTTAGCAAAGGAACAAGCTGAGCCTGGGCAGTCCATCGTCAAATGCATGTAAATCACAATCTGATTAGGAAGTGATATATTCATCTCTAACTCCTGTATAAAAGTTATTCAAGTATTTTGACAAAATAAGTGCTGTTTACTTTATACGTTTTCTGCTAATTCTAAAGATTTCTGCAAACCTAAAGGATCTCATGGAATTTACAGGCTTGTGGCTTTGCTATTGAAAGTATAAAAGCATGCTAAATTAAGTTGATTTGCCTGTGAAAGAAACACGTCCATTATTCATGTCAGGGCCCTGTCACATCAAATTGAGGGAGTGAAGAAAACCCTTTTTTATCAACGTTTAGAAGCAAGGAAAAAACCAACCATTCAGGGACTGAATTTCAATCGGGAGAAAGTCAGTCTGAAAGCAAGGTTAAAAAAAAAATAGCTGGGGACATGTTTAATGTTGGAAATCAGCAAAGGGTGGCTTGATTTAACTTCAGCTGAAATCTTTCCAACAGAAAGCCAGGATGAAACTTAAAGTAGCAAGTAATGCTCGGTCTTGATGTCACTCATGTGTAAACTTCTCAAAAGTAGTTAAGCTAATTCAGATTTAAGTCTTCTCAGACCCAGTTTTTCTTGGATGCTTCAAAATAGTGTTATTCAAAGTTATTAACAGGTAGAGCATTGCATTTGTGTATGACTCTTTTTTACCCATCCGTTATTACATGATTTAATTCTTACCAGCAGACAACGTGTAGGGCTTTCTAAGTTTTAATATTTGACAGAGAAATTGAAAAAAGATTGGTTTAGATATGGCTGTTCTACAACTCCATATCTGTAACAGGGGGGCTGACAGGATCAAAAGTACTTAGGATTGTTTCCTGTCTACTATAAGGCACATATTACCTGATGCAGCCAGAAAATCTTGGCTGTTTTCTTTATGTCATAGTGTGATAGATACAGACAAAATAAAGGGCACATGTACACATGCCCTTTTTTTTTTTTTTTAGAATAAAAGCTTGATTTGCGGTCTAATAAATTATTGCAATATACATAGAGTTAAATGAGAACTGTAAGGGGAATTGTTTTATTCACTTAAATTCATCTCATTGCCTGATTATAATTTCTCTTGTAACTTTCTTATTTAGCAAAACAAAAAGCTTACAGTTCCTTCTCACTGCTGTTGTTTTTTATAAGCTTAAACACAGCATGTTAAGTCGCATTTCATAGTCTTCTGCTTAAAGCCTAATTGGTTTAGGCTGGACACCTTAGAGGTATTCTTTAAAAGAAGTCCAGTTTTTGTGTTGCTGATGTTATTATATTGTAAAAAGGGTAATTCAACAACTTGTTTGCCTTAAATCATGTTTGTGGGTATGAGGCCTATACCTCATTTCTGCATGAGATTTGTTTTCCTACCTTTTGTTTTCCCCCAAACTCAGAGCCCTCGGGTTAACATGTTTTCTGCTTTAAAGCTCTTATCTGCAAGACACTTCATACCACCTCATCCAGGCACTCTCTCATGCTTCCCAACTTCAAAGTCTCAAGCTGAGAAAGCAAATTTAAGTCCCAAATGCTGGACTCAGCGGCTTCTATAGGACCCTCCCCTAAAGTTAAGTTCTTGTCTTTAATTGAAAATTGCAGCCAGTGTAAATAGGAGTTAGTTTGCAGCAAGCTTGCCACAAAAGGAATTACCTCGTGGAGTGGCTGCATTGGGGTAAACAGAGGGGATGAAGAAAAAGAAAGAAAAAGAGAAAGAAAAAAAAAGCCAGGGGTAAAAGGGAGAGGCTTTGTACTGTGGAGGTAACATCAAGACAAGGATTAATGGCTAGAGGAATTGTATTTTGTGTGCTTTCAGCAACACTACAATCTCCCAAAAGTAAGTGTTACTAATAAGTGGGCCAGTAAAGAAAGGTTAGATTATTAAGGGAAATGGAAAAATCAGGCTCTGTAAATACTAGAACTTTATTCTGCAAAGCCCAAGGAAAGTGTTGCTGAGGTGTTTACTTTTAGTACTTGCATTTGGGTCAACTAATGAAGTTTGTTATTTTATAGAGTTGACAAGAAATAGGAAGCAATTCATGTATACCACACAAATGACATTTTCTGCCAACTTCAGTTACTTCCATGTACCCACAATTTACTTATTTTACAGTACCTAGCTGGTAAGGAGAAACCCAGCCTGTGTTTCATTGTTGATGCATTATCTGGATCTAAGGGTGAAATCCAAGCAGCCATGCCGAAAGCATGCCAGGCCCTAACAGACCAGAACAAGGAGAGTAGTGGTGGTAGAAAGGAGGGCAGGACCCCCTTTAATGCTCAAACCTCTGCTGCCCTGAGATTATGGTGTTGGTACAGGCTCACACAACATTATCAGATCTTCGCAGTAACTCAAAAAGACACAACAAGAGAAAGTGAGGAGAACCCAGTGGTGTTCCCCTACTCCTTTCTCCTGCTCCCAGGAGTGGGGTGAGTTGGGTTTTTCACCTGTTGGACTCTAAACTGGCTCAACGAATGGTCAGACAAGCACCAGCATTGGCAGGAGGGAATGGATGGATGGAATTAAGATCTCCCTTTTCAGTGGGAGCTACAGTTTAGTAGCTCAGCTGCATTATGGAACTGCACCCCAAGGCTTATAAAATTTATGCTCAGTCATAGTTTCTTTACCAGCTCCCCAATGCAACCTGATTTGTCACTTGAGATCTTAATGATAGGATTCTCTGCCCAGAAAATGGGAAGAATAACTCTTCATTTTCTTCCAAATTCCTGACCTTTTCTATACAACCCCAAGTACATGGACACTGTGTTCATGGGAATCCATTCAGCTACTATGATATATTTTTGTATTAAAACTATTACTATTAAAACGATTGTTTAAACAAACATACAGAACTCTGTTCTGTCTTCAGTAAATCACGCCATGCATCACATCACTCCATAACAACAGAAACAGTTCAGATGTGGAAACTCTGGATATTCTGAAAAGTAACAGTATGGATATTATCAGGCAGTAAGACAGTTTCATTGCTATCAGTGCACGTACTGGTGACTTTGTTGGGGTTTTCAAAATAGTTCATAGTTCATCATATTCAAAATGCAGCCACTGGAAGCCAATGGAGCCAGCATCTAAAAATCTGGTGGAAATATAGTTGAGTCTGTTAACACATAATGCAGAATTAGAGAAAACTGCAACAGTATACAGTAAAATATACTCCACAATGTTTTTTCATGTTACATGAACTATTTCTAATAAAATATAGCATCTGTGAATATAAGAGCATTGCCAATACAAACCAGAATCATACTGGTTTAAAGCTGGAAATTGCACTTGTTTCTACTCACGTTTCAGTGGCTTACAAGTTGCATTAGTTCAAAACTCTCCCAAAAGTTTCTGCAGCATGAATCAATTGGATGCCTCTGTGAGAAGCAGAACTGATAAAAATCCAAAAAAGATCTTAACTATCATAGAATCCTAGAATGGTTAGGGTTGGAAAGGATCTTTATCCAAATAAAGTAACTTAAAAAGGGTATTATTGTTGAGAGTTCTAAAAATTACTCATTCAAGAATTCATGAAGTCCTCTTTCAGTTTTTCCTCTTGGACTTCAATATTTGCATACCTTTTACTTTCTGGTTTTAAAAGCATTTTCCTTTTTTTATTTACTGTCATGGGAAATAATTGAATTGTGCATGGTATGAGATTCTCTCCATGTGCACACAAAAACAAATGCCATGCCTTTTAAACTTGGATCAAAATGAAGTCAGAAGAAGAAATACTTAGCTCAAGACCTCACCCATTATCATTTCACTTACAGTACGCACTTGGGAAGTATTAATGTTCATAACTCAATGTCTCCAGTGCACCATACTTCTTAAAGATATGCAAGTTCATTTCAGCATTTATCTGCTCTTTTCTCCTCAGGAGTTCGACTGTTTTTCCGCCCGATGGTTAGAATGAATTGAATATTTTGAACTCATCCATCAGATTTGGAAATGATCCCTGAATTGATGAGAGTGTTTAACAGTTAATTGAACATTTTTGTTGTGAACTTTCATTGTTTCAAAGTGCAAAAATACTGCACTCAGCAGCATGGACAAAGGGAAAAGGATCCATGAAACGTTCTTGCAGCACAAATATTTTAATCCTCTAGAGAGCAGCAGGCATTTAAATAATGGGAGCATCACTGCTCTCACTCTTTTATATCCCAAGGAAAGGCCATTCACAGGACCTGAGGGCTCCCATGTTCTGCAGCAGGAAATAATTCCACATTTTTCCAATCTATGCTTTACTTGTGCTCACATGGACTGACTTCACTAAATATACAGTTCAGCCGCCCGACTGCTACCCATGCCCATGGGGACGGATGTTCGTAACAGCAGTTTCAAACTTTGGTCTGCCTGAGTGACACGGGCGGCGTGCCTTATTTTGTTGCATTGGTAAATAGCTCATTATGGCAAGTACAGATACAACACACTCATTCTGAAGGCAGAGAAGCTTTACAAAGGGACCTGATAATGTCAGGAAGTATACAGTTGGGTTTTTAATCTTAATGGAATCTGTATACCCCGTTGATACACTGTCTTACTTGACTTTGAAAATTTGCACCTTCAATCATGGAAATGATACAAAACATCTGGACTTTTACTCCTCCCTTGACAGTCATGAAAAACTTCATCTTTCTGCTCCATTATAGCACTTCAACTAAAGAGAAGTTATTTTTCTCCCTTCTGAAGCTCCACCAAATTGTGTTATTGCACTTCACTTTTCTCCTTTCCACTGACTTTTGTACAACCCTGTAAGAATATGACTTGAATTTCTTCATTCATCTATGGCAAGCCCTTACCCCAGTGCTGTCACTTCCTAAATGTCTGGCACCCAGCGTGACATCAGCTGCATGTCCCACTTCATAGAGCACCTTCATCAAACACTGCTGCTTCTTAACACAGACCTCAAGAAAATGCTTGCCTCCTTGCGCCTCGCAGACCACGATGATTTTCCACTGCAGAGCTGCCTGCTCTACTTCACTGACAAGCCTAATTCGCCAGTTCTCTTGACCAGCTCCCTTTATTCAGTAGCTTTTTCTTTTTCCAGCACCAGGATCACTCCTCTGTGCTAGATGGTTAATTAACTCTCCTCTCAGGTTTTCCAGGCTCCTGTAGTGCAAGAGGTCTGGCCTTGGTCCTGCGGCTCTAGCTAAGTAGTCACGTCCCCCAGCCCTGTGAGGTGGAGGTCTGGGATAGCTTTCCTTTAAAATACTTCAAACCAAAAATAACTGTTTCTAAACTATATTTCTCGCCCACTGTGGGAAACTGCTGAATGCGGACTTTATATTTACCAGAAGGATAACATTCTTTTAGCATTAATTCTAATTCAGAACAAGCTCTGCTCAGCGCCAACTTGGTAAAAGGCACTCAGTCAAGTGCATTTGGACCAGAGGTAACAGCCACATTCCCCTCTCCACACTGGGCTTCTTGCTCCTCCATCTGTGCAGTTCTGTGATGAACTAAACTGCAAAACTGATCCAGCTGAGAGGATCATTTGTTTTATTCTTGCTGGGCTACTTTTCAACCAGTCTCAGCTGATGATGTGGCTTATAAACACTGCAGCCAGGGGAGAGATGGAAATCAGGAGCAGAGACAGGTGGGTGCTTTTCTATGAGAGCCACTTCTGACTCTCTGCAGAGCAGTCACCTCCTGAAGGATGAGGGGAAAGCCAGGCATCCTTAGAGGAAACCACACTTACCATGGCCTTCATCTGCTTACAGACATAGCAAATACCTACAACAGATACATCACAGTAATACCACTAGCAATTGGGAATTCATACACATGCAAATCAAACCATCCCCAAACTCTGGAGCCCTTGCCATCGTATACAAAGATCTAGAAATGTTAATTAATATCCTGGTGCAATGCACACATGAAAGTGCACAACAGCTCACCAGAGGAAACACAGCCCTAGAGAAATTAAAATCTGTTAACTGCATCATATTCCTACTTATGCTCAGAAAAACCCTTGGACAGTGTCAGAATAATTTCCAATGCATTACAATGAGAAGAGACCCATGCAAATAAGTAGGGATAGTTTGGAGGGGATTAGATTCTGTGGTACAGCAATGTTCTGTAAGTTTGAAACACAGCCGCTCTCCTTATTGCACTGCAGTTAGCTCTATCTGGCTAATCTTCCTCTCCAGGTGTTAGGCAATTTTTAAAGTGAATAAAAACTATTATTTTCTGCTTTTACCTATTGTCCATCCCCTTTCCTCTGGCTAATCCTTGCACCAGAGCAGTACCCTAAGGTTACCCCCAGTGCTGGCCTCAGACAACCAGCCCGTTGCCATGCGTTCCCTCTGCCACACATGCTGCGGTAAGACAAGTACAGAGGCTACTTCTGCCTCACATGAACTGCTGTTTTCTTGTCCCGCAGCACACAGGGTTGCTCGTGCCATCCCTTGAGCTATCTCATGTTTCAGTACTTATGGTTATGTAGAGGAATATCTGGGGGATATTCAACAGGGGGTTGATAAAACCACTAGAGATTTCATATAAAATAAAGCGCATACATGCAAGTCCCTGGTTTAAGTACATGTACAAGCAGCACAGAGAGCTTTATCCTAACTGAGACTGTTGGCTAAATGTCAGTTATCAACAGGCAAAGGAGCTTTTTAACTCTGTTGTTGTGGAAATCTATGGGAACTGCATATCCAGCCTAGCAGAGTGAAGAGGAGGAGCACTGTGGGAAGACTTTGCACAGCGAAGTCTGACTGACTTACCCAGTCTTGCTCTTGCTGCTCCATTTTCACTTTGGCTTATGCCTGAAACTGGAGACTCCTCAGAGCTGTGAATGCCTTCCAGCCCTTGACACACTGGCCCTTTGAATCTGAGCTGTGTCTTTCATAGCAGCACCAACAAATATAAATGAGACTTAAGTAAGCTGCAAAACCAGAGATGGCAAGTTCATGAGTTGGGAGTGACAGAGTAAGGGAAAGATGGGGTGAGAGTGAATTTCTAATAAATCACCAGCCAACAAAGCTCGACTGAAGTGATGCAGCTGCAAAAGAAGGCGAAGGCAAGCCCAGGGTCCAGCTGTGGAGGGCTACTTGCTGGCTGATACCACCACACAGAACACCACTTAGGCCTCAGCAGATATAACCATGCCCAATTCCCTTGGAGAAAGTGGGATCCAACCTAAATCCAGTTCAAAGAAATAAAAACTTAGCCTTGTGCAAAGAGATTAAAAGAATTCCCTGTAGATTACAACCGAATTGGGGTACAAATTGTTTTGTATACAGACACCCATGGGTAAAAATAAGGGAGAGCAAAGGTTACTTCAGATGAAAGACAATGTGACAAAACCAAATTAACTGCTTGTGAAGAGTCAGGGGCGTAGGGACCCAGCACTCTGTCCCCAGAGAAGCACCCTCATTACTGTGATAATTTGTTCTTTCTGGTTTTCTCGCCCTGGGAGTTTTCACTCCTTTCTGCCCTGTGACACAGCTTCAGTTGAAGCACTGAAGCCTTATCCAGAAGAGCCTCTGGGCACAATTACATCTGAAATCTGTCAGGGTGAGGACCAGTTAAACCCAAGTATTTCATTTATGGTAAAGGCTGTGGCCATAAGACATTGCCTGTGATCATGTGCAATGACACCAATGTTTTCCAGCAGGTTTAAAATACAGACTGCATCACGGAACCTAAAAACAGTGCATGGTGCCGCTCAGCATTGGTGACCCTGAGGGATCAGGAGTACACCATGTCATAAGGGCAGAGCTTCTCACACAGCATTGATAGGTACACAGGTATTATCAGCTCCAAGCTGAATCTCAACACTTAATGAAAGAAAACAAAAAGCAACAACTCCTCTCCATTTACTTTCACAAATATTAACGAACAGGTCAAGTCCAAGGTGATGATTCATTTATGGCATTGATTTGACATGCAATATAATGAATCCCACCATGAGGGTGGCTTAAAATCATGTCTTTTGAGATCTGTTTATAGAAATTATAAAGTTTGAATTCCTTTTTGCAGCCTGCCATTTAAAATACCTGCTTTTATTTTGGTCACAGTACCCAGCTTCTCTTTGCAATTGTGAATTGCTTTTAAAGAATCTCCACATTATAGAAACACAAGGTTATTGGAAAATGCTCTGATCTCATAAGCCAGTTAACTCCTAGAAGTTAACAATAATTCTCCCTCAATTTCAAATAAAGTTCTTTATACTGTATCTGGCTACTTTATACCATCCAGATACAATTTGTGATGCTAAAAAGAAAAAAAAAACAAACATAAGAAGAAAATCAGTGCAATAATTAAAATTATGATTTTTCATATCCAGACAGAGTGAGGTCCCATGCTTTTAATTCAAACAGCTTTTGGGCTAGCAGGTCTACAGCAGTGTGTAAGAGGAGAGCCTTACTTTGCAAGGCTGCCCAGTAAATGCATTCCAGACACTGCTCTTCCTACCAGCTTATGCAAGATACTGATGGATGGTTATTACACAGTAGATGTAGGAATAAAGGACTTCTGCGCATATCCAGCAGCTCCTATAATGACATAGCTTCAAGCGCTGTAAATATTGGTCCAACACCCAGTGTTTTAACAGGCTGTTAAAGGTACTGATTACACAACAGATTACTTCAGATACCCTTGAGATTCATATCATCTAACAAGATATGAGGTGCTGAGGGGAGGAGGGGCAGGGTTTACACAGTGATGTGCTGCTCTATAGGGGCTATTGAGAGATTTGGTGATATAAAGACTGAGTGTCTTTACAGATCATTCAATGAGAGCCTTAAAAGGTATTCTGTAACTTTATGCATATACAAATATTTGCAGATCTTTTAAAGATCAAGGCTGTTGTTATCAGTTTACGTGGTATATATTGGCATTATCCAGAGTGACCTCAGGAAAGCCGATGCTCTGCAGCGGTAATGCAATGGTATGTTCAGCTCTGCTGGATCTCCATAGAGTGGGCCTGGAATGCATTGGTGAACAATACCCAGGACTGCACAGAGCAAAGAATGAAGGGCAGCAGAGTTTGATAACCACATTAAAGCACTACCAACATCTGTTCAAGCCAAAGACAACACTATCTCCAGGAATTAACCTTCTGAACCACTTAATCATTAACCTCAGCAGAGAGAAAGTTAGACAAGAGCCTATTTGTCAGTAGCCCCTCAGAGAGATGCTGCCAGCAATATTTTACCGAGAACAGCGTGAGAAGGGCTTGCCCAGCTTTATAAATTTTAAACACAGAATATATTTGTGTGGGAAACAAGGAGAAAATAGATGTAAATAAACAGCTGATCCTACCTTGAAGCCTTCATTCATTTATCCTGTTTAAAGTGGCTTGACTGGATTGTTCTGCATTGTCTAACATTTCCTCTAAACAAGTAGAGATGCTTCAGTTCTGACTCAGAAATATTCCTGTTTGTGAAAAGATTTACAATGGATGGGATGTTACAGTTTTAAGATTGCACTCATGTCCTCAAGTTTTCTACTGAAAACCAAATCAGGGACTATTGTTTTGCAAGAAGCAGCAGAGCTAGAGAAGCAAAGTAGTTTTGTTTAATAATTATTTGTCTATATATACTGCTTGACATGTGAGGTCGCCCATTAAATTATTCTGCTATAATCTGGCTGAATGCCTTTCTTTCACATGGTTACGGTAATTACAAATCTAGTTTCTTCTGGTTTTGATTTTGTTTTTCAAAGGAGGAAAGGCTTTAGCTTCTCCAAACTACAGCACCTCAGATTGTAGCAAAATTGTGGCCGACAGTTTATTTCTCTGGACCTCATGTAATCATTTACCAACAGGGTGTAAAACACTGCCACCTAAGAATGATGCTGTTTAACACCCACTTTGCACCAACCTCAGTGGCCACACAAGGTGTAGGACAATGCATAATGAGGGCCCATATGTCTGCTTAGATATTGCCACAGTCAGAGGGGGGCAGAAAGAAGAAAGAAAGAAAGAAAAAGGTTGGGAAAATGACTGACTAAAGGGCTGCAATCAGCAATCTGTTCCAAGCCAAGAGCTGTATAACAAAACTGGGTTAGCCCAGGAATGGCCCAAGGTCTCCACCATCAGTACATGAAACAGCAACCAAGTTGCGAGGAAAAAACTACTTGATTTAAGTATGTTGGATGACCTGAATAAGCTGGAAGAGTGGGCTGTCAAGAACCTTATGAAGTTCAACAAAGACAAATGTAAAGTCTTGCACCTGGAAAACATAATATAAGAACGCAGCACAGGCTGGGATCTACTTGATTTGGAACAGCACTGTGGAAAGGGTTCTGGTGGATAAAGAGCTCAATATTAGTGAAGAGTGTGCACCTGTGACAAAGCCAACAGGATGCTGGGTTACATCAAGGGCATCACTAGCTGAGATGAAGATCTCATTATCCTACTCGGAGCTTGTCAGGCCACACTTGGAATGTTGTGTTCAGTTTTGGTCCCCACTCTACAGAAAATATGTGGACAGGATGGAGAGGGTGCAGAGAAGGGCCACAAAGATGATTAAAGGACTGGAAAGTCTACAAATGAGGTAAGGCTGAGAGAACTGGGTTTGATCAACCTTAAGAAAAGAAGGCTCACGGGAGACTTTATCACCATGTTCAAGTATTTAAAAAGTAGCTACAAAGAAGATGGAGACTCATTTTTTACAAGGAGTCACATGGAAATTATGGATAATGGGCATAAGTTACTCTCAAGGACAATCCAGTTGGACAGGAGATTACGATTTTTCTCTATGAGAATAATCAGCCATTGTAATAATTTTCCCAGGGTACTGGTGGATTTCCCAATATTGGACCCTTAAGATTTGTCTGGACAGGGTGTTGGGACATCCCATCCATGTTATGCTTTGCCTAGAAAGGTTGGACAAGATGTTCCTTGAGGTCCCTTCCAACCTGGAATTCTGTGGTTCTATATTGGCCCAGTGACAAACTGATCCCTACTGCCCACATAGGGGGGCTCCTGTCTATTACTGCTTGAACTACCCTACTTAAAGGATAATTATGATGTTGGGGGGAAAAGGGATCGTCTAACACCACATAACGATGAAGGAAGATCTCAGCCACCTGCTATTATTTTTGGTTAGCTTTCTGTTGGTCAGAAAGTTGAACTGACTCAGTACAAAAACTCATGTATATCAAGGGCAGCACCACACAACCAAGGACAGAGACACACTCTTTCACACAGCAGCAAGACTTTAAATCAGCTGAAACCACAGTGTATAACTACCTTTATGCATTTGCTTACAAAGCAGACCAGTAAATTCAGCAAAAAATGATTAATAATGCTGAGTTTTCGATAAATGATACAATATTATCACCCTTGGTAGAAAAGCCATGGTTGAATGGTCATAGAAACTGAATTACCCACTCACAGTAGGGTTTTGGCTGAACAAAGTGTGAACTGCACCTGGTCTTTGAGGTACCATTCCTGCCTGTCTTCCCTTACCTGCACCTGTCCAGACAAAAGACAGAGATACTCCAATCCAACAATAATATACATGTTACATTAGGCATTAATTATGCCCCCCCCGAGCCCACCTGACCATAATGCTTTCAGTGCAATTAGTGGTGTGCTGACAAAAAAGGAAGGCATAACAATTGCCTACTTTTGAAACAGTAACAGGTAAACAGTGTTATTTCACCAAAGATGGTCATATTTACAAACACACTGGGAAGATGCTCCCCTGGACAAGGCATCTTAAGGGACCATTCCTCAGGCAATTAATTTCTCCAACGGGATTATTCATCATAGTCTATTTTCCCACAAATTGATTTCTCAGGGTTTATCATGGTAATTTAATCCCTACTACTAACTATTGGTGCTCTTCAAAGGCTGAGCTACATAACTGGTTTTTAAACCACTGTCTGCTCAGAAGACTAAACTGGAGCAGCAGACAA